GGCGCGGGCCGGGCCACGGGGCGTGGAGCTGAGCGAGCGCAGCCTGGGCCAGGCGCTGGACTCGGACACGGGCAGCGGGATGCTGTTCCTCAGCAACATCACGCTGGCCCACGCCGGCACGTATGAGTGCGAGGCCTCCAACCCCGGCGGCACGGCCCGCGTGCTCTTCCAGCTCACCGTCAACCTGTCCCTGCACCAGCAGCAGCAGCAGCGCGGGGCCCCGGGCGCGGACGTGAGCCAGGAGCCCCTCTACGACCTGGAGAGCATGGACTTCCAGGCGCTGAGCGTGGCCACGCAGACGGCCATCGCCGTGGGCATCGCGCTGCTGGCCCTGGTCGCCCTGCTGCTGCTGGCCATGATCGGCCGCAAGCACCGCAAGCGGAAACGGGCCAAGAAGGAGGAGAACATCCTCTACGTCAACGACTACTCGGACGGGCCCACCACCTTCGCCCAGCTGGAGGAGTACCGGGACGCACGGGGCCACGAGATGTTCGTCATCGACCGCAGCAAGCCACTCTTCGCCACCTACAAGGACCCCGAGGCGCTGAGCGGGCCCTTCCCGGGGCTGCCGGAGCCCGTGCAGGATCAGGCCACCCAGACGCCGGAGGGGGCCGAGGAGGAGGAGGGCGAGCAGGAGCCCGGCGAGCTCTTCGTCAATCAGGGGCTGGTGTTCCAGCCGCAGATCGCGTACGAGATCCACTGCTGAGGGCCCGAGCCCCCGACCTTTGGCCTCCGTCCCTGGCGCTCTGCCCCTCCCTGACTTCAGCCGAGCCCGGGTATCACCAGCAATGGGCGCTGGGCAGCCCCCGGCCCGAGGGCTTGCTCCTGACCCCCTGACCGGAAAGCTAGCCCCCCTCCAGGACCCACTCCCGCCCCGGCCGGCGAGACACTGTGACTCCCCCCAGCAGACGCCCCCGGGGCCGAGCTGCGCTCAGCGGGTCCCGTCCTTTGTTCCTTTTAAGTAAAGAAATAAAGCGGCATCGCTGTCCCGGGCTGGGGGCCCCGTCCCTGCGGCCCCTGCTCCCAGGGGCAGAGGCAGCCCAGGCCCCACGAGGGCAAGAAACACTCACCTGTGGCAGTGCCCGGGGCTGCCAGCTTCAGTCCTGTGCTGTATTGGGGCGACCCATCCCCGGGGTCTAGGGGCCTTGATTGACTCTAGCGAGGGGCCGTGTCCCTTTTGGGGGTGGAAGGGCAGCGGGTGTAAGCCCCCAGGTCTCTGTGCAGTGCCCCCCACCTGGGTGGAGGGAGGTGGGACTCCAGGAGCGGGTAGCAGCTGTGCCAGGCAGCGGGCACATCCTGGCCCCTCCGCGCCCACGACATAACAGAGAGCTGCAGTTGCCTCGGCTTTATTGGGAACAGATGGGGCGTCCCCAAGTCCCGCGGCCCCCGCCCTATCGGTACCGCGGGGGGCCCCAGCGGTCGTCAGGCTCCTCGTCCGTCTCGTCCCTCTCCGCACGCCCGGCCTCCTCCAGGCAGACGCGGGTGCAGCGGCTGCGGAAGGTGGACTGGATGCGCAGGGCCGCGGGGTGGTGCTGGCACAGCGCGCGCCGC